CGAGCAACAGGTAAATAGGTATCGAAATAATCTATTCCCTCTTTCTAGTTAAATCCTTTGGTAACCAATCTGGCCTTAAACTTATCAATGGTTCCATCAGAATTAAGTTTCTTTTTGAAAATCCTTTTACAACCAATTTTATTACACCCCGGAGGTAGTTCAACTAACTCCCATGTCCCATTAGAGACAATAGTCAATTTCACTTTTGATAGCTACTTTCCAATGCTTAGCTTCTGATGAAGTCATAGCATCTTTGAAAGTTATTGGCTCGTCCTCAATATTGTAAGTGATAAAATCACTTCCAAAATCTTTAACGACCTTAGCTCGTTTTCTCCGTCTGGGTTCATCCAATTCTGTTTGTACAGGATCCAAACTACTTGGACTAACCCCCACATTTGTAATCTTCTCCACATGTTCAGGAATTAATGATGATGTAAGGGCCGCATCCAAGACATCATTTTGGGGTATTCCCGTTTTCATAAGAAAAACATTCTCAAAGAATGTAGCCTCGCTGAGTTCAACAATTGTGTTTACATCTATGCTAACAATTTCTGATTTAACAACCAAAAATCTAAGAGCATTGCTTGTTTCCACATAGCCCAAAAAGGCTGCATCAATAGTTTTAGGTCCTAGCTTTTTCCTTTTGTGCTCAGGCACTAAAACTTTTGCAAGACAGCCCCACACACGAAAGTACTTTAAGCTAGGTTTTCTACCTTTCCATGATTCAAATGGAGTTATTTCACTGTGTTTCAGAGGGACTCTATTCAGAATATGGCAAGCCATATTCAAAGCCTCTCCCCACATGTATTTAGGCAATCCAAAATTCAACAAAAGACTATTGATTATATCATTAAATGTTCTAATTTTCCATTGAGGAGAATATGGAGAAGTTTCTTCATGAATTATGCCAAAATTTCGACAATATTCACCAAAGGGGTTAGATTCATATTCTCCACCTCTGTCTGATCTTAATCTTTTAAGTTTCTTACCAGTTTGTGTTTCAGCTTCATTTTTAAAAACAATAAATTTCTCAAGTGCTTCATCCTTATGTTTAATCGGATAAACATAACAATACTTACTATAATCATCTATAAAAGTGATAAAGTATCTTTTAAGGTCTTTAGTCACAATACCATTGAACTCACAAATATCAGTGTGTACTAAATCAAGTAATGCAGAATGCCTTTCTATTGAGTGATAAGGCTTTCTTACTTGTTTTGCTTCAACACATACTTGACATTTGTGATTACGTTCAACATCATGTTTTGAAATTAAATTAAGATTCATCATTCTCTTAATAGAACCATAATTTAAATGACCCAAAAGCTTATGCCATACAGAAGAACTTTCTGTAACATTCATAACAATAGAATCTGCAAAATCAAATTTATTACCAGAACCAGCATATTTAACACGAATTTTAAATAGACAATCAGACAAATAGTCCTTGCCAATAAATAAATTATAATATTGAATTACAACTTTATTCAATTTAAACGAAAGCTCATAACCTTCTTGGACTAGTGTAGAACCACTAATAATATTTCTCCGTATTGTTGGGATGTGGTGCACCCTTTCCAGAGTTAAAATGCGCCCTGAAGGAAACTTCAAGTCCACGCATCCTATCCCATGCACCTTGGCTGCACTTGAGTTTCCCATCGCTACGGATTTTCCATTAATTGGCTGATAAGACACAAAAAGCAATTTATCAGCGCAAATGTGCACATTTGCTCCAGTATCTATTAACCAATCAAACAGTTCATAGACATTCAAAAGCTCAGGTTGTAAAGAAACAAACCCGTCAATAGTTGTCTCTGGAACACTAGCATTGCTAGGTTCCTCAACAACCATATTCGCCACAGGTTGTTCAGCGAGTCCAGGTTTGACCTTAGCTTTATTCGTCGGACAATCTTTAATCCAATGTCCAACCTGTCCACAGTTCCAATATGGTTTGTTTGCTTTCAGTTTCTTATTTTTAGCCTTAGCCTTGTCTTTATTGGCTATTTTGACATTTGCATGGTTCACTTTTCTTTTTCCCATTATCATATTAGCCTTAGGTTCAAATGGCATATTATGAACTTCTTTTTGATGTTCTTCTATGTTGATTGATATCATTAAATCATCCAAGGTCAATTTCCCTTTTTGATGCTTCAACGACATTCCAAAACTTTCCCAAGACTTTGGAAATTTATCAATAATTGACATAACCAAAAACTTTTCAGGGAGTTTCATATCAGCATCAGCGAGGGAATGTTCCAAGTTGATCAATTCATGTGTCTGTTCAGATACAGACTTTCCTTCAGCCATCTAATATTTTAGGAACTTAGAAACAGAATACTTTTCGAGACCTTGCTCTTCAGTATTATATTTCTTGTCTAACTCATCCCACAATGACTTTGCAGTGTACGAATCAGAACAACAAACATCAAAGAGCATATTTGACAAAGCTGACAAAATAGCCCCTCGACCTATTTGATCTCTTTCGTTCCACTGAGCAATTTCAGTTGTTTTAGGATCATTATCAGTTGGTTCAGGCCTAGCCACCTGAATTATCGCCAAAAGTCCTTTCATTGTAAGCCAAATTTTCATTCGTTATTGCCAACGTTTGAAAAATTGCCCCGAAAATTTTTTCGGTAAGTCGGATAAATCGACTTTTGAATTCAACATAGCATTAATTGATATGGTGCCAGAACCACTTGCCATAATGATAAATTGAGAAGAAAAAAAAAATAGTAAAACAAATACGTATAACACTTTTGAAAATCTCGTTTTAATCACAAAATCTGTTTCATTAAGTTTGTTGTAAAAATTAATTAAAACGGCAGATTAAAAACGAGTTTCAACACATATACGTATTAAGAATTTGTAAATAGAAACCACAAACATCAACCACGGGAACGTGAGATGAAACCAGATTTCTATTAATAAATAAAATAAGTTTATTATAAGAAAAAACTTAACTGACAGTTCTATATTGTCACAGAACACATAGCCGAATCACAGAAAATCTGTTTGCCTTGAAGAAACAGACGCCCCGATACTGTGCAACGAGTACTACGCCTTTTCTCCCAGGATAAGACGGCTCAAAGTGTGAAGACTGCACTATCTAACACACTCACCTCAATCAAAATCTCAGTCGCCAAGAACCCTTAATTTTTCTAAATCTTTGGAGGATAAAAGAGAATATATGTATATGTTCTTTTTCTTTTCCTTTACTTGGTGTTTCTTTCATATGTCTTGCATGCACACTATTTATAGTTTTTCTAAGACAAACATGCATTCAATGAAGAGGAGATGTCTTAATGCCTTTATTAAGACAAGAGTAATGAAACTTTGAGTTTCATTCTCACTTCTCAAAACTAAACAAACAAAATGCTCGGTTATCCTTTTCATTGAATTTGGACATTTACATTAAACACATCCATTTACGTTAAACACATCATTTTATCTAAGGATTCCCACAACATACATTTCTCTTTTCACGTAATTTTTACTAGTAGAATACCCGTGTATTACATGGGTGTTGAATTAAAAAAATTTTTATAAAAAATATTAAATTTTTTATTTTTTTTAAACTAAAATAATTTAATTTTATATAAAACATTACTTTGAGTTTTAATTAAATTGTCAAATTATATTTTGTTAATCATAATAATTAAACACCCGTACATTAAATGAAAATGTCAACCCGTGTTGAATTTTTTTACTTATATCATATAAAAATATCGATATCATTTACTATTACATAAGTACAAAAATATATATCTTAAATAAATTGAAATAATATGTATATGCATAAGTGTAGAATATGTTTATTTAATATTAAACAAAATAGACTAATTTTCTTACTTAATTAGATGTCTAATACATCAAGTGTCGTATCAGTCGTGTTTCACAGCTTTTTAACTTTATATGTAATTTTAGAATTTATAAAAAATTATTTATTTTTATTACATTCACAACATACCAATTAGATTTGAATAAATAGCATTTTTAAAAGAATACATATCAATTTCTAATACTTTATAATATAATTTATAGTTTTATTTGATATAATTTAATTTAGTTTGATAAACAAATTTAAATTTTATTTATAAGGATATATATTACTGTTTTGATATGTATAAATATAAATAGTAAAATACAAACGGACTTCATAATATCAATTCAAATGCAACACACTAATTAAGATTTTTTTTTTCTTGACAATATCGACTCTATTTAATGGATGTTATGGGAAACGATGGAGATGTGATATGAAGAGACACTGTGTATTAGATGAAGGTTAAAAATAGAAAAATATGAACAAAATATCTAAAACGACATTTATTTTATCAATTATCAATTAAGTCAAAGTGACAAATAATAAAAATAGGAGGGAATATATATTATTATATATTTTAGTATGACACATGTTACTTGTGTGACTTATATGTGTTATATTATAATAAATTTTCTACCTTATAACATATAACTACATTAAACATAAATATACTAATTGATAATAATTTTATTTTCTAATTAATTTTAATAAATTATTTTTTTCTTATTATAAAGATAAATATAATTTATATATAAGATAAATATAATTTATCTATTTTATATATACAATATGGATGTCAAATCTAAGCTCATCAAAAGATGATGTCAAATATAAGTTCATCAAAAGATGACTAATTTGATATATTATATATGTAAAACCGATAAGAAATATAAAAGTTATCAACTTTTAAAATATATTTTCAATTCATTGGTTATAATAGGAAACATTATTAAAATACAATTAATATAAATATTAATTTATATCCAAGCCTAACATGATTTTTTGCCAAATAGAATTTCAAAGTATGAGAATTTGTTCAACACATTCTGAAATTATATATAGAGGATATTAGAGGATGTGGATGTGGATATATGAGACTCAAATAAAAAAAGGCTATCTTTACGAAAAAAAAAATTCAGTTTTATTGCCCTCTTAATTTATTGTTTATTTCTGTAAGTTTGACTTGTGGTTAAACTAGTACCGCCAATGATATTTGTCCAAGTGCATGAGTCGATTTATTTGACGAATATTTGGCAAGCAACTTATATTTATGGTGGGATATTAGACATAGATAGATTTGTATGAGAATTATGGAGTTGTGGTGTGTATTGTTAGAGATTTCTTGAGCGACAAGTGACTTGGGCAATGGGCTTTAGGATCGTTGAATCATTATATAACAACACCACACAGTAGTCCGCAATGCAATTCTCTAAAAATCTTGGACGTGACGATGAGTTTCTTGAAGCCAAATTCTCTCAACAGGCTCCGATGTCTGGCCGCTTCTCGCTCGCTTTCCACTGCTTCTCCGCCAATTCTCAACCGTCCACTCTACTCCGCCGTACGCCACATCCATCACCAACGCGACTCCACCACCAGGTATTTATTATTATTATTATTATTATTGTTATTATTATTATTATTATTATTATTATTATTTACTCTCTGTTAATGGGAAATTATGAAGGTATGACCTCCAGCCACCTATGAATTGGGGAGTCCGTATTGTTCCGGAGAGGAGAGCTTATGTGATCGAACGATTTGGGAAGTACGTGAAAACCCTAACGCCTGGAATCCATTTATTGGTTCCGTTTGTGGATAGAATTGCATACGCACATTCTCTGAAAGAAGAGGCAATTCCCATTCCGGATCAGTCGGCTATTACAAAGGACAATGTCAGCATTCATATTGATGGAGTCCTCTATGTTAAGGTTCATTTCGCTCCACTCCACTTATTTGTTTACTTGCGCTCAATAATTCATCTGAAAATATTCCTAAATTGATTATGATATAATGATTTTGTTGTGAAGATTGTGGATCCAAAATTGGCGTCATATGGAGTTGAGAATCCGCTGTATGCTGTGATTCAGCTTGCTCAAACTACGATGAGAAGTGAGCTGGGTAAGATTACCCTTGACAAGACTTTTGAAGAAAGGGACAGACTCAATGTCAAGATAGTGGTCAGTTTTAATTATCATTCTTGCTTTCTGGCTACTCTCTATTGAACTTGATTCTAATATCTGTGCTTATATATACTTCTTACATTAGTAACAACTGCTTTATCTTAAAGTTTCTTTGTGTCATGATTATGTAATCTCTTACTCACAAGAATTACTGTTTTTATCTTTGGTTTTTTTTTTCCTCAAATCATTTTTTCAGTTAATAAAATGCTAAGATATACAAGATTTATGACATGCAAACAATCAATCTTGACAAAAGTATAGCTGATCTGTCTCCAAACTTGATACCAAAATTAATTTGCTATTTTACATTTTAGTGAGGTGTGGTTTGTTTTGCTTGGTAGTTCACTTAGTATGCAAATACATAGTTGCGTTTCACTCCATGATTATGCTCACTGCTTTGGATATGCATTTGTTGCAGATTGCCATCAATGAAGCTGCAAAAGACTGGGGATTACAGTGTCTTCGTTATGAAATAAGTGGGATCATAAAACCCGTAGAAATATTTATTTAGTTTAATATTTGACGAGTCTGATTGGATTCTGTTGACTAAATGCAGGGGATATATCTCCACCACATGGGGTGAAGGCAGCTATGGAGATGCAAGCTGAAGCTGAGCGCAAAAAGAGAGCTCAAATTTTGGAATCTGAAGGTAAATGGCTTGCACGAAATGTTCCTTTTAATACCTAATGCAAATCACCTTTAACAATATATATGTATCAAACTTGTCAACTACTAAACTCTGATTTGTAGACTATTTACTGATGTGCTAATAATATACAGGGAAAAAGCAGGCAAATATTAATATTGCTGAAGGGGAAAAAATGGCTGTGATCCTTGAATCAGAAGCTGCCCAGCTGGACCAGGTCAACAGGGCTCCAGGTTGGTAACCATCTCTGATGTTGATTACCATGTACAGATTTCTTAAAGCTTCAAATGTTGTTTGGAATGATCTGGAGAATATGCATTTACCATTACTGCTCTTGTCAAATTAAAAGAAATTTTACTAGTTGTAACTTTCGTCTTCTGTACTTCCTTTCTTTTCAAAACAAACCTAATTAAGAGTCAAGTATTAACTTAAAATTACGCTATTGATTACATTTAGAGATTTCTTAAAGCTTCAAATGTTTTTTGTTGTGACAAGTGAAACAGGGAGAACATGCATTTACCATTACTGCTCTTGTCAAATTAAAAGAAACTTACTCGTTAAACAAATTTAATGAAGAGTCAAGTATATACTTAAAATTATGCTATTACAGGAGAAGCAGAAGCCATCCTTGCTAAAGCAAAAGCTACTGCAGAAGGAATTAATGTGGTGGCAAAAACCCTCAAAGAAAATGGGGGTGTGGAGGTAATAAATTAAATCTTTAAATGTTTTACCAACCAGTTTAAGTAGCCATTAAATTATGTCTCTCTCTCTGTGACTAACAAGTTTCTCTGCACAACCTTTTTTCTTTTTTGATTTCTTTTTTTCATTATTCTTTATATCTACATTCAACTTACTTCTATATCTTGAATTGAACTCGGAAAATACTTCATTTTCTATTAAATTTTTGTTTAGCTATGTGGTATTATATGGGAGATGACCATAGAATTCAACTTCAGTGAGATTTTTGATGGAATGGTTCATATATTGCCAAAGTAGTAAGAATTAGCTCATTACTTACTACATGAACTCCAACAATTTTTTTGAATAGCAAATACACACTTTGAAATGTTTCTAAATTGCCCTCAAGGTTTTTAAACGGATGTTGAATTTTTTCATTGAACGGCTCTATTTAATTATATGTATTGAGAATCGTCATTTTGCAGGCTGCTAGTTTACGAATCGCCGAACAATATATTCATGCATTCAGCAAAATAGCAAAACAGGTAAAAAATATTCATAATTCTGAGTTTTAATAAATACGAATGACTGAGACAGATATTTCCAATAAAATCATGTTTACATGAATTATTTTTATACAGGGAACGACAGTTTTACTTCCCTCGAGTGCTTCGAATCCTTCCAACATGATGGCTCAAGCCTTAGCTATATACAAGAACTTGCTTGGCAAAGATGCTGGGGACGTTCCAGTTTTGGAATCTGGCTATGAAAAGGACGATGCCACCTAAAACGTTATTCTTTCTTGCGAGCAATTGCAAAAACTAACAACTGCATAGTAGCCTTTTATAACGTTTTTACACAACAGCATACCATTATTATTGTTATTACCATGTTTTGAGGAAATATTTAAGCTTAGCTCAACATCTTTCTTTTTACATGCTTTATTGAGATGCCTATAGTGTTATCTTATCTTTATTTCGTCTTGTTGGTAATTACTGTCAATATTTTCGATGAATGATTATATAGATATAATGAGGTATGTGTAAATTCCCAAAATAAAAAGGAAAAAGAGAAAGTGAATAATAAAAAAAACAGATTGTTTAGATAGACTTGAGCACAAACACAGAATCATATTTCGNAATAACAACAAAAAAAATATTAATCAATTAGTTATATGCATAAATAAAAATTAAATTAACTAAAAGCAATAGAAAAGTTTATTAAATTAAATTTTAAAAATAATAATAAAATGGAATATATATAGATAAATTATAGTCATACAAGAAATGATATGAATACGAAGAACTCAATAACAATAACTTCACAAAAAAACAATATGAAAACAACAAAACAATAACATAACAACTTTTGAGCAACATGAAAACAACTGTTCCACAACAGGAAAACAACTGTTAGTGAAAACTGTAAGTCTGTAACTTTGAACTGGCAATATTTTTCAAATAAACGGTGGTTTACTATGACATGAAGACCATACCCACCCTGACCTCTTCTCCCGCTATTCACCCAATTTTCAAATTCCATAACAAGAGAGAGACCATCACAAAGGAACTAACATGAAAAGAGTTGCATACCGAATTTTAAACGCCAGATCCGATCGGTTTGCAGGTAACGAGGTGGGCAGCGGTTGTGGACTAATTCGGCGAATGGTAGGTGATGGTGAATAGATCAGAACTGAAATATATATATATATATATATAAGGGAAAAAGACTGAGAATAAATTACCGAGATTGCAACCCATGCGCGAAATCTATATATATATAATAAGAATTACCATTTACAAAATTAGTAGCCAAAAATTTAGGAAACATTTAATGCATACCATTTTTTGAAACTTTTTAAATATATGCATTAATTGCTTCTATTTACACGTTTCAAATAAGATCAAATAAGATATGTTCAAAAAAATTACTTAAATAATCAATGATATTCATTATAATAAATTACAAGATTGGTTTTCTGTAATTCATGTTGATAATAATTTGGTCAAGATAAATATTATTTTATTAATATTTGTAATACTTTCATTGATATTCATTATAATAAATTATACGATTGATCTCTATGATCTATGTTGATAATATTTTGGTCAAGATAAATATTACACCATATTTTATGTTCTAACCATAATATTAATTTTTTTCACAAATATTCACTTTTTATCCAAAAATATTTATGAAATTCTAAAAAAACATGTGTATATTTTGTAAAATATTTATGTACTATTTAATTTTAAATTTATTTACATATTTTAAATTGATTACATAAATAAACAATCCTAACGTGCATTAAATATTTTTCATTACATAAACTAAAAAGAAAAAGAAAACGTACAACTTCTATAACTTTGTAAATAATAATGACATCATATGACAACAAAGTTTATAATAAAATAATAATTAAGTATTATATGGTGAACAAGAATAAGTAAAATTGTTATTCTCTCTTATATCAAGGAATAAATATATATACTAATATCAAATTTATATTAGTATAAATGTGTTAGTAAGATAATATATTAATTATTTTACAAGCTAGCCCTAACATTCTCATATTTAATGTTTTGACTAAAAAAACAACGTTGATTAAAAGAGGTGAAAAATAGATTGTAACCTTATTGTTTATTACACTTAACGCTGATTAAAATAGGTGGAAAATAGATGATAGCCCTATTGCTTTATATAATTAACGGACAAAGCCTGTGAAAATAACTTATTTAATATTTATTTCCCGTGCATCGCACGGGGTACGTACTAGTTGGAATCAAGTGAAATNATGAAACAGATCTAGTGAAATCAACGCATTAAAAAAAAGGAGAACATGGAGAAAATTCGGCCAAGAAAGAGAAAGCATAAAAAGGAGAGATGAAAGGGGGGAGAAGAACAAGAAAAGGGGAAGAAGAAAAAAGAGAAGAATGGAGAAAAATCGCCAAGAAAGAGAAAACATAAAAAGAAAGATAAGAGGGGGGAGAAGAAGAAGGAAAGGGAAAGAAGACAGAGAGAAGAAACGTGTAGAAGAAAAGAAAACAGAGAGAAGAAAAAAAGAATAAAGATAAATTATTATTAAATAAGACTTTTTAAATGCATTACGGGAGTATAATTGGGCAATTATGGAAACACTTACGACCTGTAATAAAAACTTAATTAATACTTGAAACGAGATAGAGGATGTCTTTAATTCATTGTCCACTATGTGTTGTATGACATGGAGAAAAGAAATTAAAAAATTGTGTCTCCAATGGTTAATTTTAATAGTTGTATCATTTGTGATATGTGAAATTGTAATTGGTTGAAGAAGAGAGACAAATTGAACAAAAAATATAATATAAAATAGAAGTTGTTTAGAATGAGTTCTACATCTAGTAGACTTATAGACATTTTCCATGCCACATATGATTATTTGTGTCATATGACAACAAAATAGAGCAATAAAAAGGCCATTGGAGATGTATCTTATATTTTCAGTTAGCCTCAGACCTGCTCTTCATATGGACAATTGGAAACAATATGTAACACACCACTTTTACTTGCCAAAAATCAAAATAATTTTTTCAAAATTTAATTCAAACATTTAAGGCGTTACTCATTTATTTCAAAATCATTTCAATATGTACCAATAATCAAACTCCCAAACAGGGATCCCCAAATTTTATCAATCACCCAAACAAGGTTCCAACTATCATCGTGGTACTTAAGGAGCATTCTCCTTAATATTTTTCCAATCATTAATAATATCCAAAATTCTTTAAATCCATATATCATAAATTCCATAATATCTCAAGTTCATAAATCCTAATATAAGTCATAAAATTCATAAGTGGTACAAATTGCGGAAGCATAACAATAGTTAACCGGTCTTATGGACTGACCACCACTCGCTCTACTCCTCCGTCGTACCTGCCTTGCTTAACCTGAAATGTTAATTTCAGGTGGGGATGAGCACACTTGGAAAAATTAGTGCTCACCACTATGCAATAAACATTTACATAACGAAACAATAACAGATATAGCATGATCACAGCATGTACATGAATCAATTAATTATCCCAAGTTTCAACATAAATTCACAGTGTTCAGACTCATGTGCACATCTATACCAATAGACTACTGCTGGTCCACGTATCATATGCCTTCTTAGGCCTTACGTGCCGTATGCCTGCTTAGGCCTTATGACACTACGTTTATGCCCCTCGGGCTTATACACCGAATGCCCCTCGGGCTTCTATCAGTGCCGAGTCAGTAGGAGTAACCCCTCGGGTTTTCATTTCATAGATACGGGACAACCGTTCAACGGCCGATACAGCTCACATCGAAGGCTACATGATTCGTAAGCACACATTGATCATATACGAGTAAAGTAAACAATTTATTGCATAGACGATTTTAGAATAACAACCCACCTGGTCGCGGATAGAAGATAACACGAAAGCACGAATAGGCTGCGAGCTCGACTCGTCAAACACCTACATTAAGTCCAGATGCTATAATCAACATCTACTATGAATTAAACAGAAATCACAATCATACTTAGCCGAGCTTGATTCGACTAAGTTGTTCGTGAAGTCCTGTGGACGTTGGAACACTTAGACTCGACTCTAAGACTCAACCAATTACACATGGGAGTTAACATAAACTAGAACAAGGATTGACCAAGTCAAACACTCAAATAAACAGATGGCGAATCGATTTACAGTTTTTATTGCAAAAGCCATATTTATGAAAATACAAGATTTTAATCACCAAAATAAGTTGGTCAGGTTATCAACTGAGTTTAACTCTGAAATTGTAACCAAAATTTCACCTCCCAGAATTAAACAAGACCACCATTTTCCAGCCCCAAACTCAAAGTGTGCTATTTTATAAAATTCGAGCAAGTTTATGACAAAAACGAGCATCAATTAGCAACCAGATCAAATGAATGAATTAACCTATGAAATTTTTATCTAATGAACCACAACATGTACAGAGCAGTGTGTAAAAATATCAGCCCTAAACTCTTAACATGAGATTTATTAAAAATTGCTACAACATTTAGCAGTTTTCGAATTTTCAACATAGTTGAACCTAAATGAACTCCACAAATTCCAATATTTACACATCATGAAATATACCACAATACGTACACTTCAACCAAATATCATAATTTTTCAGCATCAAACTATTTTTTAACAGTTAAAACAATTTCTGGTAGAAACACAAAATAATCTATTTACCTAAACTAACAGAATTCAAAAATCATGAAAATTTAACACAACCTCTACAACAGAAAGGAAAACACTATATTCGAATTTCAGAAATTTTCAAGCACTACACAATTAATTATGCAATGAATATGAAATTGATCAGAAATCATTCTAATTTATTAAAATAGCTACAGACCTCCTAAAATCATGAAATTTACAAACCAGCTACATTTTCATTAGAAAATATCTCACAAAATATCAAGGCAAACGGACCAGCGAGAAATTTATGATGAATTTAATATGAAATCAGCCACTATTCAATTTTGATAATTCATGTAAGACTCGATTCACGACGAAATCGTCCGAAGTCTTCGCCTTAAGACCAAGGACGATATAACGTTCCAATCCACAACGACTATATCAAAAATCGACGAGGTCTCGTTCGATTTCAAAGAATCGAAGAGTTTGTCCACATACATTCAACATATATTTAAATCTCATGAACACAAAATAACTTAGGCATATTCATATGTACTCGATAACCACATTCAACACCCAAGAACACAACATAAACAATACATAAAATTAAACGAGATGGGTCGAGCCTTGTACCGTTCTCGGGAATCGATAGAAAACGGAACGAAGGGGTGACGGGCTCAAATCGGCAACACACGGCTCACGGGGGGAGGATGGAGGCTCAGGTCGATGGAGCAGAGGTGCTGTCCGGCGTCAATGTCCGCTGCCGAGGGGC